TAAATATACAAGTAAATATATAATATTAAAAACAAAGGTAATCATTTCCTAATTATATTACTACATAGCATTCTCTATGTTCTTAAGGTCATTTACATCTTTATTCTGTGTAGTAGAAATACTATATAGTGGTATGTTACTGTACCGTTCTTACCTATTCCATGATCAATGATAGGTTGAAATTAGCCATGGTAGGTGTATTTACACCAGGGAAGTTGAGAAACCTTACAGATGAAGGCATGATTTGTAATTTTGTTCACTATCTATGGTCTAGCAATTTTTTTCTGTAAAGGTTGTATGGTAAATGGTATGTTTTATGGGTCATATATAGTCTCTGTTGCATATTCTTATTTTTAACAAAACTTTTAAAATATAAAAAACATCCATTCATACTTCACATACTGTTTAAGATTGTGTTACAGGTCAGATTTGATTCAAGGATCACAGTTTATTGGCCCCTGGGTTAGATTTCAAAATAAAAGGAACAAAATGTTAATTATGCAGATGAAACTTAGACTGCTGTGTTTGAAGTTTTTTTTTTGTGAGCAGAACAAATAATTGACAAACTACTATTCAACAATTCAAAAACAATTCTCATTTGAAAAAGAAGTTGTTCAGATCACTGATAAATAGGCAAAATTCTCACATAGCAATGTAATTGTTTTACATTCCTCTAACTTGTTAATATAAACAAAAACATCAGTCCATATTCATGCCAAATATCATACTTACTGAGAATAAACTTATTGATTAAACAGCAGATTGATACAACTCCAACTGACAAATCATGATTGAACTGTAATCATGGTTACATATAAGAGTTTAGTAAAATCAGCGAATAGAATGTGAATTAACTGGCTGTGTGGACGTCACAATGCAAAGTACTATGTATGGGTATTTTTTAACTGTGCATTAAACATTCTAATGTTTATGATTTTATATACATATATTCATACATACATTTTTTCTCTAAAGCCATTGTTCAGCATATATATACCAATGATTATGAGGATCATATGAAGAAATTCTTATCTTAGTACACTAAGAATATTTCTACTATGAAATTGCTACATATGGATAGGCCTATATGCAACTGGCTAGATTTATCTTCAGTATTAAGAAGGATACAACCTCCACTAATGAATGTAGTAGTTTTCTATGATATAAGCTTTTGCTAATTAACTTCATTTTTAATTTTTTCTCCTATTTTTTTTCTCTGCTTAACCAATATAACTTATTTTGCAGCACTTTTATGGCTCATTTTATTTTTCTGAATAATGTTGAACATAGAGAAAAATAATTACATTTTTTCCCCCAGAGCTACTCATATCAATGAGATTAAAGATTAAGTTTGGGTTGCCCTATTTCCTTTTTTTTTTAATATAATAGTTTATTTTTACATCATTTTGTACATTTTTTTTTATCTCAATTGTAATCCCAATGTATTTCCTTTCTTTTTTAAAAAAATATTGATTTACATATGCATACAAGAACTGGAGTATAGGCCAGAGGTGTTGAGGGGAAACAATTGAGGGGAAAACAATTGACCAGAGACAGAGCAGAGAGCAGAACAGGCAGATCTACTGAAACACTCTGGTGAGGGGAGCAGTGGGCAAGACAGGAGAGGTCTGTCACATCATATGGGTCACCAACCTGGCTGGGGATCGAACTCCTGCTGCAGTGGCTGCAGATTGCTTCATAGTGCTGTGCTTAACCCATTGTGCCACCAGGGAGGGCCCTACTCTATTTTTTTTTTAAAGATTTATTTATTTATTCATACAGAACTGGGGTACAGGCCAGAGATGCGGAGGGTGAGAGGATTCACCAGAGACAGAGTGGGGAGCAGAACAGGCAGATCCATGAAGTACACTGCTGAGTGGAGCAGCAGGCAGGTCAGGAGAGGTCTGCCACCCCATGTTGTCACCTCTGGGGCAGGCGGGAATCGAACTCATGCAGAGGTGGCTTTAGCTTCTTAGTGCTGTGCTTTAACCCGCTGTGCCACCAGGGAGGGCCTCTATTTTTAATGAACAAAGAACAACTTAAAATGGTAATAGAGGAATAAGAGAGAATAGATCATTTAAAATGACACAAGAATCATTTTCTGGTGGATTGTCTAGACCAAGTTCAGTAATTTGGCTCAGACAAAGGAGGAAGCAACAAAGGAAGAAGTGGCTGAGTTAGAGGCGGTGCTGTAAACTGATCTATTGATTAGAAGAAAGGAAATCATTTCGTCTTGGTTTCGATTGTACTGTCGAAAAGAGGCTTGAGGATAATATGTCTAGTTAATTGCTGTCTGAGACTTGAATCTCCTATTGCCCTCTATATAGATATCCAGCCTATGTTGGACCATAGTTTGGAACATCTAGAATAATAGAAACTTATTATTTCTGCCTGCTAGCAAGTTTTTTTTCTTGTATTAACCACAGCTCTTTTTTCCAGGCAGTTTCAAATCCATTGTCCTAGTTCCTTTTCTGTGGAATCAAACTCAGTGACTTTCACATAAACTCCTAACAGTGTTTCAAATACTTAAAGGCAGCTTTAAATTCATTCCTACTTCAAGTTAATTATCCACTGTTCTCTGTAGTTAAATTTTTAGATACTGTAAATTGCCATGCTATCTCTTGACACTCCATCCAAAAATATCTCCAAAAGTCTGCATACTCTTTTAACAAAATAGATGGGCAATTCTGTAGCATTTCACTATAAATAGTCTCTGACTTAGTGGTAAAGAATGCAGGCTGAAACATGGGTGGAGCTGGAAGGGATCATGCTTAGTGAAATAAGCCAGAAAGAAAATGAAAATGGTTTCACTCATAGCAGGAGCA